CCAGGAGACGTTCATTCCGGCGCTCCTCGGCTCACAAAGCGATGCGCTCCTCGCGGCGCCTCCCGGCGAGGGCAAGACCCTCTCGTTCCTCCTCCCGGTCCTGGCCGGGATCGACAACCGCGCGCCCGGCGTACAGGCGCTGGTCGTTGCGCCGCACGCTGAGGCTGCGCTGCAGACGCTCACTGCGGCGCGGACGCTCACCCGCGGCGGCTCCAAGCGGCGGCGTGCTGCGCCAGTCACCACCGCCGCCCTCGTCCGCCCGCTGCACAAAGCGGCGCCGCTGCCGGACGCCCACCTTGTTGTGGCCACCCCGTCGGTGCTTGCCAGCGCGCTTGCGGACTCGCCGGCTTTCCGCGATGTTGTCCTCCCGCGGCTGAACACGCTGGTCCTTGACGAGTTCGACTACCTGGCGGCTTTTGAGCGGCGGGCGCTGGAGGGCATCCTAACCCACGCCACCATCAAGGCCTCGCACGTGACGCGGGCCCGCAGTGCGCGGATCCGCAAGGCTGCTGCGCCGCGGGTCATCGGCGTCTCGGCCACGATGGCCACCCCCAGCGTCCGCGAAGTAGTCGCCGACCACTTTGCCGCCCCGCACCTCGAGCTGGACGTGGCCGAGCGGCGCGCTGATGCGCCGGCGGTCGAGCATCTGGCGCTCCTGCTCAACGACTATGCGTCGCACGACGGGCGTGCTCGCGGTTCGGGCGTCTCCCTCGGCGTCACCGCCGCTGCCCTCGCCCACACCGCCTCGCGGCTCAAGGTCAAGCGGAGCCTGGTCTTTACCCATGACGCTGCCGACGGCCGCGCGCTCGCTGACGAGCTCAAAGCCCGTGGATTCAAGGCCGGATGGCTGCCGCCGGGCGCCTCGCGCGCCGCCGCCGCTGAGCGCAAGCGCATGCTCGCCGCGCTCGCCGCCGGCCGTCTCCAGCTCGCGCTCCTGCCCGATGTCGTCGCCCGTGGCCTCGACCTCCCGACGCTCACCCACGTGTTCTCAGTCGGCCTTCCCGCCAACGTCGACCAGTACGTTCACCGCGCTGGTCGCGTCGGCCGCCCGTCGCAGGCTGCCGCCGCGCCGACCGTCGTCTCACTTGTCCGCTCCGCCCGCGACTTTAAGGCCCTCGACCACATCGCAGAGAGCCTCGGCATCACGCCGAGCCTCTTGTAGGCGAACTACGCCGTCGCAGGGAAGCCGGCGTAGACCATCGACTCGATGCCGGCGCAGTCGACGCCGGCCTTGATCCAAAAGTGGCCCGCAGGCACTCCCATCGGCGTCGTCGCCGGCCACGCCTCGCCCCACGAGTTCTGCACAAGCCACGCTGGGCCGTGACCCATCATGTCGTCGTCCCATCCCACAATCATCACCGAGTGCATGCCCGTGAACCGTCCGCCGTCCGAGAGGTGGCAGCCGTCGAACACCACCCCGCCCGCAGGGTACTCCTGAAACTTGGCAAAGACATTGAACGTCACATCAACCGGCCCACCCATGATCGCTCTCTTGATAGCGGCAATGTGCGATGCTGGATCAATGAACGAGCCCACGTGCGTGTAGTTGGCCGCCGCGTACGTCTTCCACGCCACGCCAGGCGCGCTGCACTGGGTCGGGCACGCTGGCACCTTGCCGTCGCCCGACACATACGGCACACACTCGAGAGTGGGAATGCCGTGCTTGGTCAGATCGTGCCACGCGCGCCCACCGAGCACGCCCATCTCGCACTTGAGCACATCGTCGCACGAGACCAGCGCCTGTGGCGAGAGTACTACCTTCTCGCCGGCGTAGATGCACGTCCGCGCCGAGAGAACTTCAGAGGCCGCAAAGGCCCAGCACGATCCGCATCCGCCCTGGTTGAGCACCGGTGGGAGGCAGTCCGGGAACGTCTCGTTGACCATAAACCGCTTCGGCAGCCCCGCAGCCCGTCCGCTCGCCGCCACCGCCACCTCGTACTGCGCCTGCGGCAGCGGCGCACCTGTTGGCGTCCGCGCCACACCCATGCCACCTGTTGCCGCCGCGTGCCGCACCACCGCCGCCAACACCACCATCGCCACACTCACCACCACCACCACCAACCTTGCTCTTGCTCCTGCCATGGCGAGAGTGAGTGGAGTGGGCTACAATGCCGTTGCTGTTGCCCTCGCTCCCGCTCTGTCCCCCCCCCTCCCCCCTCCCATGTGACTTTGTCAAAGTAATGCGTATGATCGTCATTGCCGGCTGCCAAGGCCATCGTGATCATGATCGCGATCACGATCACGACGACCACTGCTACGATCATGACCATGATCCCCCAACACCTCCCCCACCTTGTCCTCTCCCCCCCCCCACCTCACCCTCCACCACCCACCCACACGCATACACCATGTCGGACCACGCCATTGCTCAGGCCATTGTCGGGTTCCTCAACTCGGTTGTCGCCGCGCCGCCTGCTGGTGTTGACGGCGACTCGCTCTCGGTCGCCGCCGAGTGCATCGCCGACGCCTTTGGCCTCGCACCCGAGACGAGCAACACCACGCTGCGCGACATGTTTGCGGCTTCGGCGTCTACTTCTGCACCGGCGGCCGCGCCAGAGGCAAGCCCGCAACACTCTGAGCGCCTGCAGGCATTCCTGGACAACGTCGCCGCCCAGGGCTACTTTGCCGGGGTTGAAAAGGGCACGCCCGAGTACGCTCAGCGCGAGGCGGCGGCCATCGCCAAGTTCGAGGCCCGCCTGGCCGCCGCTGCCAACAAGGCCCCGGCATCCGAGGCTGACAAGGCCAAGGCCGCCGCGCTCAAGGCGGAGGGCAACGCTGCGCTCAAGGACGGCCGCTTCGACGACGCCATCGCAAAGTACACGGCCGCCATCGCCGCCGACGACTCCAATGCTGTGTACTTTGCCAACCGCGCCGCCGCCCACGCCATGAAGAGGGACCATGACGCGGTCATCGAAGACTGCGAGCGTGCCGTCGCTGTCGACCCGACGTACACCAAGGCCTACCGTCGCATGGGCGCAGCCTACATGGCCAAGGGCAACCCGCGCGCTGCCATCGACAACGCCTACAACCCGGCGCTCGCCGTCGAGCCCGACTCGGAGCTTACTCTTACCGAGCTTGCCAAGGCCCAGGCCGCCCTCTCGGCCGCAGATGCCGCCTCGCCGGCCGCTTCCGTCACTTCGGCGGAGCCCGCCGACGCTGCCGCGCCCGGAGCCACGCCCGCCGGCATGCCTGCAGGCATGCCGGCAGGCATGCCCGATCTCTCCAACCTCGCGTCCATGTTTGGCGGCGCTGGTGGCGCCGGCGGCGCGCCCGACCTCTCCTCGCTCATGGGCAACCCTATGATCCAGCAGATGGCCTCGCAGATGGCGTCCAACCCCGAGATGCTGCAGAACCTCATGGGCATGATGGGCGGTATGGGCGGCATGGGCGGCCAGCAGTAGTCACCGCGATCATCTCTTGCCCAGCCCTGCCGCAAGTTTGCGGAGCGCAGCCTTGCGGATAAAGGTCTTGTGTACCTCGAGCGCGGGCCGGACTACCGCGTCTAGCACCTGCAGTACCTCGTCGTCGCCCATCCTGAGTGCCGCCTTGACGTAGCTAAACAGGAGCGCTCCGTACTTGCCGTCGCTCGCCGAGGCTTCGGCGAGCGCCGCTATCGCAACCAGCACGGCTTTTGCTGGCCCAGGTCGCGCGAGGTCGGCCACCGCATGGCTCGATGCCTTGCCATCGACAACATGCTTGAGCAGCGCGAGGCTGCCGGAGCTGCCCAGCACCTCGGCGCTCGCACTCGCCACGCTGGCAAGCACAGGATCAAGCACTGCCGGCCAGCCCAAGCACTCCGCCGCGTCGGCGAGCAGTGCCTTCATCGCCTCGACCGCGCCCACAGCGCCTGCAGCTGCCAACGGCGCGACCAGCGATCTGACGCTAACTTCAGGAAACATGGCCACGCAGCCGCGCGCCGCGTCCAGTACCCGCCGCGAGACCGAGGCCTCCGCGGCTGCCATCAGCGGCAGCAGCACGTGTCCGAGGCATGCCGCCGCGTTTGCCCGCAGCGTCTCGCCATCCGCAAGCAAGCTCACCAGTTCCAAAACCGCATCCTCGCCCGCTCCTTCGCTCCACCCGTTGGCAAGTGCGCCTTTCAGCGCAGGGTCTGTCCGCAGCACCGCGAGCTCGTCCGCACTCAGCGCACACCGCCCGATCTTGGCAAGAGCTGCTTCCACTGCCGCCAAGTTTCCCAGCGTGTTGTCTGACTGGCGCACACAGCCCGCATGGGTCTGTGAGGCCTCCTTCTGCCGCTTCGGAGGCCGATGCCCGAGCTCGCCGCCCGCCGCCGTGACTGACGGCGGCGGCTCGCGAGCCGGCGGAAGGCGCCGTAACGCGGCCAGAGCTGCCTGCACCGGCGCCTGAGCAGGACTGAGTGCGGGCTCGGCGTAATGCGCGATGCACGAGCCGCGCCAGGCTGCAGCAGCAGCCGTGTCTGAGCGCAGGACTCTCCGCGAGACGGTGACGGCGGCGTGAGCCATGGCCGCAGAAAGGTCGTGGTTTGAGGCGGCGAGGGCGGCCCGCGGCCACGAGACCAAGCTGGGGGAGGCGTAGGCGTACTGCTCTGCGGCCCAGACGACGTCTGCCGGGCGTCTGCCCGAGTGGATGCCCATAAGCAACGCAGCGATGGCGTGCCATGGCTCCATGGCGTGGCACCTTGGTCGACGAGTGTTTACACGGGAGCGCGACGCCGGCCGGTCGGCCGGCGCGGGAGAGGCTTGCTACTCGGCCGGCGGCTCAAAGGGCATGATGGAGCCAAAGGTAAAGTGCTGGATGACCGGAAACTTGGAGAGCACCTCGCCCTTGTACATCTTGATCATGCCGCCGTTGATCTTGGTCCAGTGGATGACCGAGGTGATCGAGTAGAGGCACGACGAGTGCTCCTCAAAGGTGCCCGACTTGAGCGAGCACACAAACTTGATGGCGGCCAGGTACATGTAGTCCTGGGCGTACATATCAACAATGTCGGCCTGGAGGACAGACTTTGGCTTGATAAACGCGTGCTCGCGGAGCTGCGCCGAGCCCCAGAGGAACGGCATGAACTGGTAGTCGTCGAGCCCAAAGGCGCCGCGCGAGCCGGCCGGCTCCAGCGAGTACTTGGTCTGAAGCTTGCGGGCAAGCGAGAGGTAGCTGTCGGCAAAGACCCGGAACGCCAACGCCGCATACTCGTCGGGCTTGACGTACCCGATCATGGCCAGCGCCGCCATGAACGCCACAAAGTACATCTCGTGCCCGGTCCCGTAGTCGCGACGCAGCCGGTTGCCAAAAGACTCGGAGAGATATGCCACAAGCTCGATGGCCGGTGATGGCGACTCGGTCGGCTCGGTGGCGCCGACAGCTTCGGCAGCCCCGCCTCGCGCCTCGGCGTGCTCCGCCGCCCAGCCGGACGCCTCGAGCGCATCGTCGATGAGACCGGGCATGGCCGCCACAGCCTTGTCCAGCCACGTCACAAACGCCTTGTTGCCGAATCGCATCGGCTGATCCACCGGCTCGATCTCGTCGACCATGGCGTCAAGCTTGGCCAGCATCTCCACCAGCGCCTGCACCGCCGGTGAGAGCGGCAGCGCCCCCTCGGCCGACTCGGCGTACTCGCGCATCGATCGGCCCTTCACCGCACTGTTCACCGCCTGAATGAAACCCATCAAGTTGCCGTATGCCTCTGACTGCAGCCACCCACCCATGTCCATCGGCGACAGCACCCGTCGGACCTGTTCTCCAACCCGCCAGCCGTCACCACCCCACATCCCGTCCCGTCCCGTCCGCCACCACCACGCCGTGCAGCGCCCACACCAGCCCATACCCCCACCCCCCCCACCAGCAACCAAACAGCGACCATTGTGAGTGTGTCCCGTATACCACTCTCGGCCCCATCACCCATTCCGCCCCCCTCGCCTCCCCCCCCCCCCCCCCTTGCCGTCCTCCCGCTCACCGCGACCCACACCCACCTACCGGGGTCCGGAACGGGCCAGTCTTGTACGGCAGCTCAGGAGCTGCAAGCGCATCGGAGTCAGCCATTTTCTGTTCTGTGTCTATCTACGTATGGCTTGTCCTCGTGCTTGTGCTTGTGCTCGTGGTCTTGGTCTTGGTCGTCTCCTCACCTCGGTCTCCGAGTTGAGTGTCGAGCCACGGCTTCCTACGCTCCGCCGGCGAGGGCTGCCTCGGCGGCGCGGACCTCGTCGGGATCGGCATCGACGCGGGCGGCGGCAGCAAGGAAGGCTTCGTCGGTCTCTGCCCGGTCAAAGTCGGCCAGGTACTCGGATCGATGGAGGCAGACAATGGCCTCGAGGCTCGGGTCGTGCTTCTGCGCGATCTCGAGAGCGCGCGGCCAGTTGAAGAGACGCATGTTGAGCTCGACGGCCCAATAGAAGAGGCGGGCCTGGAGGAGGCCAGCCTCGGCCTCGTCGGGCTTGCCGCAGAAAAGAGCTAGCTCGGCGTGACGGCGCTCGGTGGCATCGATGGCGGCGATACGGGCAATGTGCTCGAGCTTGTCGACCTGGTTGACCTGCGCAAAGGCAATCTCAGCCGGGCCCAGCTCCTTGTGGGCGACGGCGAGCGCGGCGAGGATGGCCCACTCCAGCGGCTGGTTGACGAACCGGCAGAGGTTGACGGCGTCCTTCATGACCGCGCTGCGGCGTACTGGGCAAGCAACTGCGGGTAGGGCGAGACCATGCTTGCGGCCAGCGCGCCGTCTTGGGTCCGAATCGAGACGTGGGTGTCGACAAACGAGAGCAGCGTCGGTGAGCGACCGAGCGAGGTGCCGACCGAGCTGTCAACGGTCTTGGTGGCGTCAGTGAGCGAGGAGGCAACAAAGACGACGCCCGGGTAGTACCAGGTAACGAGCGACGAGTCGCAGTACGCCACCAGCATGTCGGCGCACTCGTTCCACACCACCGACGAGGCCATGGCGGCGAGCCGCACCGGTGCCGGCCGGACCACCGACGTCATGAACAGCTCGCCAGCCGAGTCGATGTAGACGAGCTTGCGATCGGCCGGCGAGCCGACCTGCGAGAGGGCAATGTGGACGACGTCGCGCGAGGCGCCGACGACGTCGTCGAGCACACGCCCAGACCCGGCGTCAAAGAGAAGGATCCGCGACCGTGCACTTGGATCAATGAGTGCCACCGTGTCCGGTGAGAGTGCCACAGACGACTGGGTGAGCACGTCGCCGGCCGCCAGCCGGATCTTGGGGGACATCACCGGGCGCCCGTCGTAGCTGTGGATGGCAAGACCGGTCGACGAGTCGAGGAGCGCAAAGTACTTGGCGCACTGCAGAATGGCGTCGATGCGGACGTGGGCCTCGATGATGACCGGCGTCGACCAGGCCGACGTCGAGTAGATGTACACCTGATGGGTCGTTGCCGCCACCAGATGGTCCGCTGCCAGCGAGAGCTTGATGACTCGGTCGCGGAAGACGAGCTCCTCCTCAAACTCGTTGGCAACGTCGAGGACTCGGACCTTGGTTGGCTCAATGAGGGTCACGTCGTAGTTCCGCCACTCGACGTGCCGCCCGGTCACGTAGCCGAGGACAAGCTCAGCGCCGGCGCCGGCGCCGACGACATGCGACGAGTCTGGCGACCACGCCAGCGCCTGCAGCGAGCCTGCGTGCTGCGCCTCGGCGCGCGCGTGGATCCATCCGGCCGCGTCGCAGAGCGCAAGCAGCTCAAAGGCGCCGACGGCAAAGACCGTGCCGTCGGGCGCCCAGCGGGCGGAAGTGACGACGTGGTCAAACGGCGACGACGCGTACAGCGGGCGGCCAAAGGCGTCCCACACCTTGTACCGCGCATCCTCGCCGCCACTCACAATCAGGTCCGAGACCGGCGACCAATCGAGGGCGAGGACAAGGCCGTCGTGCGCCTTCCACGACTCAACCTTGCCTGCCGGGTCGAGCGGCTTGACCACGACCGAGGCGCCCGAGGTGAGCGCGAGCGCCGACGCACCGCGGCTCGCTCCCGCCTTGCTCTTGCCCTTGGCACTGGATCCGTTCGAGCCGGGCGCCGAGCCCCAGGCCAGCGCGTACACCGGGCGCGGCTGAGTGTAGAGGACCGAGCGGAGGACGCCAGCGCGGGACCAGACCTTGAGCGCGCCGTCCTCGCCGCAGGTGGCCAGAGTGGCGCCATCGCGTGTATACGCCGCGTCAAGCACGGCACCTTCGTGTGCGCCTTCGACCGCGCTCTCCCACTTGGGCTGCGTCGAGAACAGCCGCAGGGCACCGTCCGACGTGCCGACAACGCCTGCCCGCGGCGGGCCGGCAGCCTTGCCCGCGCCTGCGCTTCCGCTTCCGCCAGCGGAAGCGCCGCCGACTGCCGGCGGTGCCAAGGCCATGCACGTGGCGTAAAAGCCGTCCAGCTCCAGCACAGCCTCCAGCGGCTCGCCCTCTGCGTTCCACTCACGCAGCGCGCCATCGTCAGCCACAGACACCACGGTGGTGTCCGAGGCCCAGCCAACGCCTGTGATACCAGCCGTGTGGCTCCCGCTCCGGCCCATGTACGTCACCAGCTTCATGGTGGTGGTAGGTTTGGAAGTGGGGTAGGTAGGTAGGGGGTAGGGTTGGGGGAGTTGAGGGGGGTGGGGGATTGGTTTGTTTGTGTGGTGGGTGTGGTGGGTGTGGGTGTGGGTGTGGGGTGGAGGCAGCTGGTGGCTTGGTGGTGGTCCTCGTTCCCTGCGGTTGGCGCCAACTGGTGCCCCCCCCCCCACACCCTGACACCATTGGTCGGTCCGCAGTCGCAGCGCACACTGATGCAGCACTCGCAGACAACACAAAATCGTCCCCCCTCCCCCTACACACACACAATACCGCCCCCAGCCCAATCCAACTCCCCCCCCCCCTCGTCATCCTCCCACACTTCATCGCCAGTCACCTCGATCAATGGCACCCCCCCAACCTCCCCATCACACCACATTGACGCGCAGTGCGACTAACCGCACCCACAGCCAGACTCAGCAAAGCACACCCCTCGTCTGCGCATCAACATCACCATGTTGTGGGCAAGGCTACAAGCAGGACATGCTATACGCCCAAGTCGCTCCGCATGGGTACGGGCTGCATCGGCTGCGGCCTCGCTCTCGTCGGCCCGTCCTACGGCAGAGACGGTCATGCTCGGCATCGAGACGACCTTTGATGACACAGGCATCGCCCTTGTCCGTGGCGATGGCACCGTCCTTGGCGAGGCCGTCTCGTCGCAGCGGCGGCTCAACTCGCAGTTTGGTGGAACGGTGCCGTCGCTGGCGGCCGAGGCGCACAGGGCCCGGTTCCGCGGCGTTCTTGCCGATGCGCTCGCCGATGCGGGCGCTACGCTCGCAGACGTCGATGCTGTGGCGGTTGCGGTCGGTCCAGGACTCTCGGCTTGTCTGCGTGTCGGTGGCGATCTCGCCAACGGGCTAGCCGCAGCAGCAGGGCTTCCGCTGTATGCGGTGAACCACCTTGAGGCGCACCTGCTCACCGCCCGGTTGACCGAGCAGCCGCCACCGACCTTTCCGTTTGTCTCACTCCTGGTGACCGGCGGCAACACGCAGGTCATCCTCGCCGAGGCCTTTGGTCGCTACACTCTGCTCGGCCAGACCCTTGATGATGCCATCGGCGAGGCCTTTGACAAGACCGCGCGTACGCTCGGCGTCGATCTTGCAGCGGGCTCGGGCGGGGCGGGGGTCGAGACCCTGGCAGCGGCCGCTACCGCGCCGGCCACCTCGGCCATCCGCTTCTCTATCCCCATGAAGAGCCACGACTCGATGGACTTTTCATTCTCGGGCCTTAAGACCGCGCTCGCCACCCGCGCCGCCACCGAGGCCGCCGCCGCCGGCGTCGATGCGCCGGCCGCCCTGCCACTCGCCACCCGCGCCGGCCTCGCCGCCGCCTTCCAGGACGCGGCCTTTGGCCACGTGCTCGACAAGACAAAGCGGGCGCTGGCACACGCACGGGCACAGTTGGCGCTTCCAGATGACGCGCCGCCGCTCCCGCTTGTTCTCTGTGGCGGGGTGTCGGCCAACGCCGCGCTGCGGGTCGAACTGGAGGCCGCCACCGCCGACGCCGGCGCCACTCTGGTCACCACGCCGCTGAGGCTGTGCACCGACAACGGCGTCATGATCGCGTGGGCTGGCCTCGAGCACATGGCCGCAGGCACAGAGCCCGTCGACCACGTCGTCACCGACCCGCGGCTCGTCCTCACCCACGCCTCGTTCTCCACCAAGCCATGATAGCGTCGTCACACGTCGGTGATGATCGGCGGCAGCGGCGCCTCAACGTAGCCCACCGCAAACGGCAGCTTGGTTACCAGTGGCGTTACCGCGGTCTCGCCCCACTGTTCGTGGAATGTCGGCTCGCGCGCAAGCGCGTCGACCACACGCATCGACTCAGCGTCTGCCACCCGGCCAAACACAGTGTGTCCGGCGCCCCACTCGGGGTGCGGCGCGAGCGCAATGAAAAAGTGCGGGCCAGATCCGATGAGACACACATCGCCACGCACCACAAGCGGCGCATCCTCCCGCGGCAGTTCCCAGTCACCCGGCGCCGCGTCGGTCGCAAACCGGCCTTGCAGCAGCGCGTACGGTGGGCCGTAGAAGCCATCCGGATCAAACGCCTCGCCCATGCTCCAGTTGCCCGGCACAGCCTCGGCCCGATAAAAGTTGCACCCAGCATCGGCCGTTGCCTGTGGGGCGTCTTCCGCAGGCAGCGCCGCGCACGGCGGCATCGTCCCCGCCTCGGCCTCGGGCGATCCGATGGTAAAGGCCACAATCTTGGCCACCGTCTTGGGCGCCGCCCGCTTACGCAGCGAGATCACCACCATGCCCTTGCGCGTGATGAGCGAGAGCGACGGCGGCGGTGGCGGCGGAGCCACTGCAGCTTCGACTGCCGCAGCCACCGCTGCACCACCGGCGCCCGTGGCGTCCGTGCCCACGCCCGCGCCTGGCTCTCCCACCGCCAACACCGCAGCTGCGGCTGCAGCCTCTCCAGCCAGTGCCTGCGACACCGCCCACCACCACCACCCACCGTACGCTGCCAGTGCACCGACCAACAGCAGTGCCGCCATCAAGCACATGGGCGTACTCGCTTTCCCGCCGCCGCCCTCGCCGCCACCTCCGCTCCGCCCGCCGCCTCCACTCCGCCTACCGTCCGCGGCGCCACCCACTGCGCCCACCACACCTACTGCACCTGCCCCGCCGTCCCCGCCTGGTCCCCGTCGCAACATGATCCGCCCCCTTTGCCTGTGTCTGTGGGTTGAGTGTGGCGGTAACACTGTGCGCTGCTCACTCCCATCGCCACAACACAGCTTGGAGTTGCGCAGGTACCCATGCGCCATCACAGCTGCAAACACAGGGCAGCGTCAACGCTGATAGTGGCCGAGCGGTACCGACTGTTGGTGGTACTGGTCAGCATGTGTATTGGCCATGTGTGATGGCCATGTGCGGCGGCATCACAGCAAGTGCGATGGCCATGGGTGGTGGCATCACAGCAAGTGCGATGGCCATGGGTGATGGCATCATGTCTGTGCCTGCTTCCCCGCAACGCACCAATCAATATTCCATCGCCTCCATGGCGACCATCGCCACCATCCCCGCCACCATCCCCGTCAATACCACCGCCCTCACCACCCTCGCCATCCGCGACCATCCCCGCCAACAGGTGATCAAAAAGGTTGTGCTTCGACAGAGTGCTTCGACCGAGTGCTTCGAAGGAGACCGCCGACCTGACCTACCATGACTACCACACGCCACACTCATTTGCCCATGGCCAGAATCGGGGCCACACACCTGACGCTCGACTATGTCCACATCGCCGCTGTTGCCGCTGCTTCGCGAGCTGGTCTCCCGCCTTGCCGCGGCCTGCCCGCAGTCGTCGGCCACTACCGATGCGGTTGTTGACATGCTCTCGGGACACCCGCTGTTTGATTTGTCGCGGAAGGACGTGGCCAAGTTGCGCAAGGCAGCGGGCGATGCCGCTCTTCGCGGCCGGGCTCCTGAGCTATCGCACAACACTGCGCTCGTCATCCTCCCACCTGTCGAGCTGTGGGAGCCCATCAACGCCATCCGCGCTGAGCTCGAGCCGCATCATCTGACCATCTGGCCGCCGCACATCACCCTCGCCTACCCCTTCCTCCCAGTCCATGCATGGCCCGACAACCTCGCCCCGCTTGCCGCCGCAACTGCCTCCATTGACCCGTTCGATGTCACTTTACTCACCTTTGGCACATTTAGTCGCGGCAAGAATGGTATGCTCACCTACCTCGAGCCCGACCCAGAGTCGGCCTCCGGCATCACCGCCGTCCGTGCTGCGCTTTGTGATCAGCTCTTCCCGTACCTCCCGGCAACGTTTACACCACACCTCACTGTCGGCCGAGGCCAGTCCGATCCTCAGGCTCCGCGCCTTGCTGCTCACTGGACGCCGATCACCTTTCCGGTTAGCCATCTTGCGCTCCTTGCCCGCCCGCACCGCGACGCGCCGCTTGAGATCATTGCCGAGATTCCACTCCGTGGACAGGGCGAGCTCTTGGCCACGGATATTGCTACCATGGTCGCGTCGCTTGCTGCGCCACACACACCGCCTGCGCCTCGCAAGCTATCTCATCACGTGCCGGATGCCGTCGCTACCGCCAACGCCAAGCTCGTCGCCGCCGCTGCTTCCAATCCTGAGCTCGCTCCCGAGGCTGTCGAGCTGGCAACCGACGAGCTCGAAGCCCTCAACGCCATTTATGCCGACGACTCTGAAGTCGAACTGACGACCGACGCCACCTCCGTCTCGCTCACCCATCGCTCTGCCGGCGTTCGCCTGATCATCAACAAGGACGCCCTCTATCCGTTTACCGTTCCCACCATCTCGGTCGAGACCCGCTCGACCGAGACTGCGCCCTGGCATGCGGCTCCTGGGCTGAGCAAGCAGCTGTACGTGACTGCACTCGAGGCTGCCGGCTCGCCACTCTGCTACGAGTTGTTTCTTGCGGCGCTCGAGTGTGTGGCAGAGCAGCCGACAGCGGCACCTGCGCAAACCGGGACAACCCTCCCTCTCGCCCAGAATGCCGGAGACAGCGCGGGCACTGACAGCAGCGTCAGTAGCGCTGTAGCCTACATCCGCGGCCTCGTGCCCGCCGCACTCTCGGTCGCCCAGGCCAACGCCCTCATCGCGCGCATCGATCCGAGTGCCGAGCTGGAGGACATGCCTATTACCCTTCCGGACACATTGTCCGAGCCTATCACCGCCGCGCCGGTGTGGATCTCTGCCGAAAAGGCGGCGTTGACTGCCGCCTTTGGCGTCAATGTCACCGTCGAGCCATGCGAGTTCACCGATGCTGTCCGCGGCTTTGACACCGTCATCGCCATCCATATTCGAGCTCGCCATCCGGCCCAGCTCGGAAACTTTGTCCCACGCTCGCTCCGTGACACGCTCTCCACCATCCGCCATCCACCGGACCATGTTTTTGCTGACGTCCGCATCCTCGCATCTGCCGTTGCCGTTGGCCACTTTGAGGTTGACGTTGTCAACAGCCTCGGCCTCACCGCCGGCGACATTCTTGCGCTCGACGGCGCTCTCTCGCTCGCTGCTGCTCGTCCGTCAGACTCCTTGCCGGCGATTGTGGCTGTTGCTGCTGGCGATCCGCACCTTTGCTATGCGCCGCTAGGCTGCCTGCCGATCGCGACGGCTTCCTGCATTGCCCAACAGTACGTGGCTGACGTTGCAACTGCTACAACCGCAGACAGCGGCGACGTCCCAATGGTTCCGGCTGACCTCAAGCTTGTCGGCCTCCGCCCGGCCACAACTTCGATGACCTATGCTGCGCTCTCGATTGCGGCCGCTGAGGACGCTGCCCTTGGTGCCGCCCGCACCGCCGCCGCCGCCGACGGCTACCAAATCACCCATGCCGACCGAATCACCTCGCCTGCGCTTGTTGCGCGCTTCGCCGCCGCCGTGTCATCCATGCCCACATCCGGCAAGTCGGTCCTTGCCCCGTTTGTTGGCTTCCACGGGACGTGGTCTGCTGACGCCGCCACCTCTATTGTCGAGTCGGGCATCCTTGCTCCGCTTGAAGTGACCGAGCGCGGCGAGCTCCTGCACATGGCGACAGGGGCAATCTATGGCAACGGCGTCTATGTTGCGCCTGGTCTGAGCAAGGCCGCTATGTACACCCGCGCCGACGCCGACGGTGCCTTCTCGGTCTTTGCCGCCCTTGTTGTCCCCGGCGTTGCACGGCGCGTTGTTTTCGACAGGCAGGCCGGATCGCGCACGCATGCCTCACGCGAGTTTGTCGCCGGCTTTTTCGACTACTTTACCTTTGACCCGAACTTTCACTCCAACGTGGCGCCGTCAGGAGAAGAGGTTGTCATCTTTGACTCTGCTCGGGTCCTGCCGCTCCTCCAGATCACCCTGGTTCCGGCGACTGTGGGTAGTGCCACTGCGCTTGCCGCCGATCCGTACGCGCACCGTCAGCTCGCCCCGGCATCGTCTATTCTTCCGGGCTCACAATGGGCGCCGTTCACTGCTCGTTCACGCAAGTCGCGGCGCGCACTGGCAGCTGGTGCCGGAAAGGACCGCCGCAGAGCGTTCGTCCCGCAGAACGCTGTGCCTGATGCTGCTCCGCCGCTCCTCGCCTTCCACCGCGTCCCAGGCACCGCTGACAAGTGGCTTCTCGACGTCTCGCCGCGGCTTCCGCTGCAATGGGGCCTGCCGGTGACCAAGGTGCATATGGTCTTTATCATCGAGGCCTCGGCGCGACTTGATGAAGCCTACACCAAGTTTGTGCTTCCAACGGCCTGTGAGCTTGTCCGCCGCGTCTCACCCGACGCCGCGTCTGCGGTAATCTTCGGCCGCGATGCGACCGTCTACACCCCGGCCGCCGTCACTTCACACGCGTTCTTTGACACGCCTCGCATCCGCAACCGCACCCTTGACGAGAATGTCAGCTTTGGGGCAGGGTATGAGGCTGCCATCACCCACGCACTCGACGCCGACGAGCGCCATCGGGACCAGATCCGCGCGGTTGCCCATGCCCGCGCGCTGGCCACACTGCGCCGGTTCGGCAAGCCAACCACCGATGCTGCGATCCGACGCCAAATCAAGTCCGAACTACATGCGCCAGATCTTGCTGCAACGGTCCACTACATGCTTGTCTCACTCTCGCGCGGTGTGGACTCGATCAGAACGCCGAGTGAGCTTGCAGCGCTCTGGAAGCGCTCGGCCAGGTATGTTTCCGGCGCCGGGCTTATGGCCTCGCTTACGCCCATCAATCTCGGCAAGACTAGCAGCGTGGACCATGTTCTTGCCGCCAGAGCTGCAACGGCAGCGTCGTCGACTACGTACGTTTCGTATGACACTGCACCGGTCTTTTACGCCCATCGCCTCCGCGCGCTTCCTGAAGTTGCCAAGCGCGTCGCTATCAAGCTCAAGGCTGCCGTCCGCAAGGTCTCGGTCCGGCTGAGCCTGCCAACGGAGGCCAGTTCGATTGCTCAGGGCTTTGTCACCTCGTTCACGTCGCGAGTGAGCCACGCAGTGTCGCTGGCGATCGCTCCCGGCAGCGGGACGAACGGAGTGCTCTACCACGGTGCGACACCGCCTCGGACAATCAGCATCGGCGAGTTTGAGCATCCGATTCCGGTCGTAGCCCATGTGCCACGGCCGATGGAGAACGACTCGACGCCGGGCTCGCTGCTGGTTGCCGAGTCGACTGCCGGATCACTCGAGGCGCTGCGGGCTCAGGGCACGCTCCTCGCTGTACTCCGCGGACTCATCGATGACATCAAGGTTGCGGCGGTGACCGGCAAGGATGTGCGGCTGGCGTTTGAGACGCTCAGCACCCTGATCGACGGCGTGAAGACAGCGGGTCCGAGTCACGGCGCTCTCGCTGCCATGTCAGCATGCGAACGGATGGAGACCGTTCGCGCCAAGGCCCGCCTCGTCAACGAGCTCGAGGCCATGTGCAACGGCGTTCGCGATGCCCTGGTGGTGGCTGCCGAAGCCAAGATGAGCCCGGTCGCCCAGTCCAAGTGGCTGGCTCAGTCGGAGAACCTCAAGTACGGCGCTGCCGCTGGGAGGCGATCGGTAGCAGTGGTCGACGCTTCCGATGTCGGCCGCGACCTCGTTCGCCGCCTGGACGCGGCACTAGATGATGTTGACCTCTCGCCACCGGCGCACCGAGAGATCGAGCTCGCCCAAGCTGCAGTCGACGCTATCGGCGACTCTCCCGAGACTGCGCTTGCCGGCTTTGTTCTCCCGGACCTGCTGTATGGCTTTGGTAGTCTCGGCCTGGGCATTGTGGTGCGGCGGAGCAACGCTAGCGTCGCCGATCCGTGGCAGATTCATGTCGAGACGGTGACGAGCGCGTGGGTCGAGACCAGCCGAGTCATGTGCGGCCTTCGCACAGGTTCGCCGCTGTGTATCGATTGGTACCCGGGTGGCGCAGAAGGGCGTCGCAACTCACTGAGCTCGTCTGATGACGACAGCGACGTCGACGATGCTGGAGAGAGCCGCAGCAAGACCAGCCGGCCGGTGGTTCGAGTCAGGCCGGTGGCGGCTGTCGAGGACGTGCTGGTGGTGATGCGGCCGGGCCATGCCGCGGCACCGGTGCTGGAAGCATACGCCAAGTCTGCGCTCCACACTGCGTACCTCGGCGTGGTCTTTTGCCGCAATCCGGTGCTGGCGCTGCCGGCGCAGCGGACGGCGCTACTGACGGTGGCACTCGTCCAGGCCGTCAACCAGCTGCTTGATCCGGCGTGCTGCGAGCCTGGCTTTGTGGCTGTGGTGTGGACGCTGCTGACCTCGTTGCGGGCGCGGATGGGGATTAACGGCGCATCGCCCGAGCAGTTCTGGAACGGAGTGATCTACAAGCTCATGGAGCCACATCCGGAGCGGCGACTGACCGAGGCTCCCGAGGACGATGTGTCATCGGTGGCCAAGGTGCTAGGCCCGCTGATGGTGTGCCACGAGGCTGTGGATGAGGTTGGTCTCTTTGAACTCGCTGCAGCGCCGCAGCTGTCTGCTGTGGCGCTGGCCCTGCTGGCTGAGTCGATCTCGCGGTCGTCGCGCGTCTACCTCAAGTGCCGTCTTGCAAGACGCGGCGTGGCCAACCACGCGGCTGCAATGCGCGACGAGGCCCAAGCGGTCCTGGCCCGGGCGCTCGGCATTAGCCCTGAGTCAGTGCCGGCGATCTCGCCGAGCGATGAGGTCATCGACCCGCCGGCGTCGGCCTTGACCTTTGGCAGCGAAGCCGACATCGACCGCGCGCTGCGGGCGTCGAGCAAGCTCTTCCGCAAGCCGGGGTGGACCAATGTACCGCCGACGGCCGTGCTGGCCTGCCTGCAGATGGCACGGGTCGTCCAGGGCTTTGGCCGCGAGCTTGCGCAGCCGACCGCTGACCCGCCACCGGCCTTTGTGACAGCCGTATGCAGCACGTTTCGTGGGCTTTCGATGGGCGCGTTCCTCACCCAATTTGTGGAGCCCGGTGCTGGGCGCGAGCTCGACCGGCGGGCGCTGCAGGCTGCGCTCTATGTCCAGGGCATCGAGTTCCACTCATCCAAGCTCCGCCGCGGTGGCGAGATTGGCGAGCTGCTTGAACCGCATGCATTGGTGGCCAGCGCGGCGGCGCGGGCGCGCAAGACCATGTATGCTGCGGCGCGGAGTGTCAAGCTTGCCCGACTGGCCCGAACCCGCAAGCTCAACGCGCGCGAGCTCCGGAGGCAGGAGAAGCTCGCTGCGCTCGCTGAGTTTTACACAGCCCATGCCGGTGTACCGAAGCTCTTCAGCGAGGCCGAGGTGGCCGCCATGAACCGTGCAGCACCCAGTGCCGTTGATGCCGTCGTCCGCGAGCCATCGGGCCTTCTCCGCCACCGATGCTGCTTCGAGGCCTGCCCACGCTTTTTAGAGTACCTGGGAACCCAGGCAGATCGGCTGCACGGCACCCGCAAGGGCCTCTTCACCCATCTTGCCCCGATCACCCAGCGTTCTTGCAAGGTTCCGTACTTCCCAGGCTGGCATTTGATGGCCATCATGCTCTGGCGCAAGACCCGATCGGCCCACAATGGCCGCCAGACCTTTATCACCCGTCTTGTCAACCACTACCGCGACCGCACAAGCTCGTCAGCTGTCGTCGCCTCGCTTGCGGAAGCAACCTGGCTCTCGATCGAGGCCATGGTCGCCGCTGATTGATCGGCAAAT